CATAAGAACTTGCGTTGTTCAAAAAAAAAAAAAAAAAAAAACATAAGAACTTGCTGCCTCGAGAGAAACTAGACTTAAAACAAAACGAGGACAAGCTATGCGCATCATCAATATACAATACATATCACTAGGTCGAGAGCTATCGTGACTTACTGAAACCATTTTCAACGAGGTAACTGAAGGTATGACCATCACAGATGTAGGTTAACTTGTTGTCTGAGGAAGGAAGCTTTTGAAGGTAGTGTGCAGCGATGGATGTGAGATGGCTTTTGAAATCTGTCAACTCCACGAGGATTACCGTGCCTCGAGCCACGAAACTGTAGATCAATGAGGATTTTTGCGCCATTTTTATCTAAGGTAAAAAAAGGCAACTTACCGAGAGATAGGAGATTTATATCTAGAGAAGACTAAAGCTGAAACGCGTAGAGAATCGAGGACTAAATTTACATTTGATTTGGTCCCCGAAATCTCTCTTCTGAACTCGTCAACAACATTGATTTGTTATTCGATTTCATGACAGATAATCTTCTTGTGATGATGGCTTTAGGAAGAGGATTGTGAATTTAATGTCTACTTTTTGGGTGGACTTGAAGCCATAACAATAATGAAATGATCTGTTTTTTTTATGTCGTTTGGTTTCTTCAGCAAGAAACTGAATTCATATTCTTTGACCAAACTGATTTTCGAAAAAATATAACTTTTTTCTTAAAAGAAAACAGAGCAATGTGTAAAAAGAGGTTAGAGGGAAAAACAAAAACGAAAAATGTTCTTGACTAAGAATTTTTTTTGATTCCAGTAGACGAAAACATGAACCGGTCAGACCAGATCGAGTTAAATTCATGTGAACGGGGTCGAATATGTTAATACTGTCATCATCATAGCAATTCGCAAAAGTTAAGAAAGACCAAAGCAAGTAAGATTCAAGCCAGGTTCAAATAATTGTTCGCAGAATCAGTGTCGGCACCAGCAATAGCAAATGTTGGCAAAATGTCGAACATTCATACATATAATGTATATATATGGCTGGCCTATACAAAACCAATTTCAAGAAGTACAATCTAAGCAGAGAAGAGACATAGCATCAGGATTTAGAAACCACAAAAAAAACGGAAAGCAGCAAAACGAAGTGAATGAGGATGTTGAAGGAAATCACAACGAGGAAGAAATATTCCCAGACTTATTTGCCACAGTTGAAGCCACCGCAGACAGAGAGGACGATGATGAGGATCAAGGCAATGATGATTGCAAGAACAATGAGTTTTATCTTCATGTTCTGAAACCACATCTTCCTTCTCATCTGTGTTCCTTGTGTTCTGAAATCTTGCGCCTGTTAACACAGTTTTCAGTTACAATTTAAAACTTCATAAACCCCAAGACAAAAGAAATGGAGAAAGAGAGAGCTGCAACTCAAAACATATAAGCTATGCATAAGAAATAACTAACCTGTGAGCGAAGGTTTTCAGTTTTGTCCACCAAAAGTTCAATTTTCTCACCACGGTCAAGAACCTGCAAAAAAATGAGTGAGTTCCACAATGTATGAATAGTTGAACAACTATATTTGAAAGTCAGAATCGTACCTTTTCAATGTTTTCCATCATGACACCTTTAACTTCAGACACCTGAGCTTTAACCTTAGCAAGCTTGCTAATCTCATCAGGATGATCCATGCAATACTGCATGTGCTCTTTCAGTTTCGACCTTCATAGCAGCCAAAAAAGAAGGAATCAGTCGACAATGATAACTGAAACTTCTCATTAGCAATCAAAAGAGATGATCAAATATAAGTACCCAAACTCTTTGTTCAAGCTGTTTGCCTGAGCAGTAGCAGCCTTTCCACCACCGTATCTCTTGTTGAAATCCTCCTTAACTCGTTCCAAGAAAGCCATTGGAATCTGCCTCCCAGCAGAATCAACTGCAACAACACAATAGGCTGCATAACAAGAACAAAACCGGGATAAACTTTAAGAACATATTGAGAGATAAAAAGCAGAAGATAAAAAAAAAAGAGTAGAACACTATAATAAGGAAGAGAGCTACATATATGAACACTCCAATGCTATTTCTCAAGCGTTATATTCCAAACTCTATCGAACTATTTGAACCATACTTTGAGGACAATAAAGCTTTCTTCTTTTGCAACGTGATCAAACGCTGCAATTAGACGCAACAATAAATCACCACATTTTTTAGCCTTTCGATTAAATATTTACACGATAAAAATAGCCAGACCTGAGATTTTGGAACCAAAAACCATTTAATAAAATTATTTTTTTTAAACAACATGGGAGCTATATATATATCAACTCTTACAAATTTAGTGATTCAATGCCAATGTTTCATTTGGTTTATATTCTACGGACGGCTTGTATAAACATAACAATGACATATTTGCAATTATTTATTTATAGCGACTAATCAAACCGATCATAACCGAACGCCGTGAATCGCTACTATCAAAATGAACCAGTAAAGAAGGCATAATCACAGATCCATCAAACCAATCACCAAATCAGATCTAACCTCAATTAAACCTAATACATACCAAACAAAGCTATAACGCATCAAAATCGAGAGGGTATATATAGATCTCGAGCCTTACTGAATCCATTCTCGACGAGGTAATTGAAGGTATGACCATCGCAGTTGTAAGTGAACTTGTTGTTCGAGGAAGGAAGCTTTTGAAGGCACTGTGCAGCGATTGACGTGAAGTTGCCTTTGAAATCGGTGAACTCCACGAGGATTACTGTGCCTCGCGCCACGAAACTGTAGATCAACGATGATTGCTGCGCCATTTTTTTTTTATTCTCAGGAAAAAACGACGCGGAGAGATGCGTTTTACCGATCGATCGGAGATTTATTAATATCGGCAGAGATCTAGAGAGAAGACTGGCGCTGAAACGCGTTAGAGAGAGATTCGAGGACTAAGTGAGAGAGAGAGAGAGAGAGGAAAGAGGAGAGAGCGTATCTTAGGAGATGTCTAACGTAATTGAAAAGAAGGAAAGTTACTTTAAAATTCAAACCCTTGAAATTAAGGAAGGACTAAACATGCAAATGCATAAGATTATGGTTAGATTGTGTAAATCAAAACCTTCAAAAGGAGGACTAAATAATAAATTCTGAGATTGTTTTTATGATATTCAACTTGTGCGCCTCATTAAAGTTGGCGATGTTGGTATTTGATGCTTTCAACTTTTCAACGTAGTTGAAATTTAAATAATGTTATTAAAATATCTTTAATGTATAGTAGTATTTTATTACTAGTGTTTTTTCTTTAATAAGTAAAATACCAGCTTACAAGTGTTTATCTTTTTCTTTTGTTTGGTCAAAAAGACTAGTGGATTATCTATCACCCAACTTATTAGCAGTGGGTATGGTCATAAGTTTGAGAGTTTATGTATTACTAGAAATTGTGTATGTATTTGAATGATTTCAGTAATTTAAACAGAATAATATGGATTTTAAAGGCTTCTGAGCAAGTTCCTTTTTTTTTTAAAAGCAATTGTAGCTTACGTTTAAAATGTTTTAGTCATCCTACCTACATGCACCCATGTCCACTCCTATCTATTCAAGTATTCTCCTGAGTTATATAGTGTATAACTTATTTTTGCATGTTTATTAAATTGGTTTTGTCAACGTTATATGTTTATTAGAATACATGAACTTTTTACATCCTGCACCCTAATATTCTAATAAGTGATTTTCGTGTTCAATATTAGCGTAGAATAGGCCTTTTACAAAAATAAAATAAAATAAGTGTAAGTGAGTGTTTTTAGTTTTTTTATTATTTAGATTGGATCGGATAAAGATTGATGACCCGGAATGAAACCAAACAACAAAGCGTATAGTTTCAGTAGCTGGTCCAAGGGAATGGACCAGGCAACGAAACTCGTTACTCGTAGGGTAGCAAGATTGGATTTCTAGATAGGGAAAAAAAGTAATGGGGTGAGAGAGGCTCGAACTCTCGACCTCAGGATCACTCAATAGCTATGAGACCTACGCGCTAGCCAACTGCGCCACCACCCCTATTGACATTCATTGAAAATTGCTCAAATTAGCTCTGTAACAACATCAAAGGTCAAAGCTCCGACTTTAGTTGAACATTTCACACATCCACTGAAGTCTAAAAAAGTGGCTGCCAGCTGAAAATTGAAAAATTCTATGATATCCAGATGCAACTGAAATTCGAGAAGTAAAAATTATCCATACATAAAAGATTTCATAGAAGATTCCCCTTCAAATGGAAAAAAAAAATATACTAAAAACAAGACCTGGTCAAGAAGAATACAAGACTCAGGCAAACATTAGTTGTGATGCCTTTATTCAAATAACTATAATAAACTGAAGAAAAAAAAGAGAAGGACCAGTTTCTCTCCAAGAAGAGAATAGAGTGCTGAGATGTAGTATTTGGAGAATTGAAATGTGTGTGTTGATGCTTGTACACATCAGTTATCTCTAACGAGCGTCCTTGGACAAGAAGCCCTGCGAGTCAACTTTCCTTGCGTTGCGAAGCTCATCAACTCCATCTCCTCTTTCAAACACAGCCGCTGCACCCATTCCCGTCCCTGCCAGATTTTTCCCAATCAACAATAACATTTTCAGACACCATTTTAGAGATCGTATGAGTGAGTAAGATTATGGAGTGTGAGAGAGAGAAGCATACCAATGCACATCGATACTACCCCAAATCGACAGTCTTTTCCACGGCGTTTCATCTCGTGCAACAAAGTAGCAACGCAACGTGCTCCTGTGAAACATTTAAACAAGCATTTAGCTAATCCTGGTCTCTTAGCTATCGCTCTATTGTATCCTGGAACTGACTGTAGCAGACTAGAGCAGTTGTGAGTTGGTTAAGCACAGTTTGTAAAAGTAAACTTATTATGTACCTGTGGCGCCCAAAGGATGTCCTATGGCCATAGCGCCACCGTTGACATTGACTTTCTCTGCGTCAATTCCCAATTTGTTACGGCAATAAAGAAACTGAGATGCAAATGCCTGAAAACACAAGGATTTAAACAGACAGTTAGGGGGAAAAAGCTATGTGGTAAGAAGATCCTGAAGGTTTTTTGCTTATTTACCTCGTTAATCTCAAACAAGTCGATGTCATCAAGTTCTAAACCAGCCGCCTTAACTGCAGCAGGAATGGCAACTGCTGGACCAACCCCCATGATTGCTGGGTCAACACCAACTGCAGCAAATGTCCTGCAATTTTTTCCAATAGTTTGCTAGTCAGGGAAATGGCCATCACTAGCATGTGCAGACTTATACCGTTATAGCTTTATCAGAAATTATCACCCACCTGAATACACCAAGAACGGGAAGTCCTTTTTTCGTAGCAACACTTCTCCTCATGAGGAGAACGGCTCCTGCGCCATCACTTACTTGGCTGGCGTTTCCTGTTTGTGATAATAACAAACGAAGCAATGGATTAAAATTTTTGTGATAAAAGAATTGTTTTCTCTACAAACAGACAATTGATTCGAGAAAAAGTACCAGCGGTTGTGGTGCCATCC